CTTGAAGGTCTCGATCTCCTCTCTCAATCACGTATCGTCAATCTACTTTTAATTCATGGGATCTTTCGATTCCTCCATGTTTAGATCTTTCTTTGATTTGATGATATCGACCCACGAACCAATCGCATCTGTTCACTGACATTTTTAATTTCATTTATGTCTTTTGCAGTTTACAGCTTCCGATTGACTTTCGCCATGTAAGCTTATTCCTTTAACTCGATGCCTATTATTACCAATCTCCAATCTCCGCATCATGTTTTGTTGATGGATCTATTCATAGGTCTCTCTAGGCTTGGAATCATTTCCCGTTTTAGTCTGTGTTCTGTAGTGTGTATAGTGATCGGTCCATGATGATCTAGATTTAGTTTACCTTCATATTATACTATCTATCAATATGTTAAGGTTAGCTTGCTGATTGTGGTGTTGCGTAATTTATCAATTGATAATCGATTTCCTCCCTTTTTTTTCCTGGCTTGCGGTTTTGATTCGTGTAATCAGAGCTTCTTCTTGTAAATATGGCCTTCTGTCTAAGTGTAAACAAGACCGGTTTTGATTCGTATAACCAGTCTTGATCGTGAAGACAGATTCTTGTATACCATGACACGGGTTTTGTCTATGCTTCGATGTTTCATCCTTGATGGATGGAGATGGTGTGAATGGTTTTTTTTGCGAGGATGAAAATGATGTGACCGGTTTTATTTACTTTTTTGATTATTTCAGGGCAGACGAAGAAGTTGTTGATCCAAAGAAGTACCTTGAGGAATCTTGCAAACCAAAATGTGTGAAGCCACTACTCGAATATCAGGTAAACTAGCCGGGCGATCGTTGTTGTGAATATAGATTGTGTAATAAGTTTGACAGAGTGCCACGTGTGTGAAGATCATTGTTGACTGATACAAAATTCTTGTTTGTGGTTCTCAGGCTTGTGTCAAGAGAATCCAAGGTGATGACTCTGGCCACAAGCATTGCACTGGCCAGTATTTCGACTACTGGCATTGCATTGACAAATGTGTAAGTAGTTGAATTATGCTTTGCTTCTCACATGTTCTTCTACGATTTGATACTGAGATGAAACTGGATTTTGGATCTTTAGGTTGCACCAAAGCTGTTTACGAAACTGAAATGAAAAAAGGTGAAGCTGGAGGTGACTATATTGTCTTGAGTTTGCTTCATGTGGTGGTTTCAAGAGATGTATAAAACGCAGTGGATGTTGAACTTCTTTTTAACTGCAAACCAGAATGCCAAATGGCTCTGCTTCTCGGTTTTGTTTCTATCGCAATTTGCGGTTATTATATTTTTTCTACAGACTACAGACATTGTTCTTGTGCTATTTCAGTAATTGCATGCCTAATAACAAGAATGTGCCTTTTGTCTTCTACAATGCGGTGATTTGTTTCAATAAAGATAGATATTCAGGCATGACCATTAAAATTAGTTAAGAGCATTGATTAGAACCAGAACCGATTTTATTGAATCAAAGAGGATTAATAAACACTGAACTTAGACAGCATACACCAATTTACTCAACCAGTTAAAACCTACTGCAGCTTCACTTCTGAATCAGCTTCCCTTGAGTCTTCTTTCTCTTCATATAGGACTTCCATGGCTTAACAAGCATCTTCAACCTCACTATATTTGGAGTATTTGTCACTCCATTACTCCAAATATAGTGCAATCTTATTCATTACTTGATCTTTTTATGCAAAAAGAAGAGGCGTTTTGAGTTAAATTGGAAGATCATGTTAGAACGCGCGAGATAATATTGTAACTTTTTGGGCTGCTAAAGGTGCATACAGAGACAAACATAGTGTGATAAAGAAGAAGTGGGGTTCGAGTCAAATTGGAGATGCTCTTAGAACACGCGAAACACGCGAGATAATATTGCAACTTGTTAGGCTGCTAAAGGTGCATATAGTCAAACTTAGTTGCTGAAAGAAGAAGCGGGGTTTGTGTCAAATTGGAGATAACATACAGACAAATTTATACAGACAAGTCAATGTGACTCTGAATCAAGGACAGTTAGGAGGGATGTATGGCCCAAGGGCAGCTACAATACAAAAAGTTACAACTTGTCCCCATAGAAGCATCACTCCCTCATGTAGATTCTACCATCTCATCCTCTATATTAATTACAAAGAGTATTGTAATTCCATACCATTACTTACACAAGTCATGAACGGTGGAAACGGTCCTTCTAGCTATGCACGCAACTCTTCCTATCAGGTTTCCATATTCAGCACTCTTCCACTTCCTTTTGTCAGTTTGTGTGTGTTTAGCTTACCAACATGTTAACATTAATTATGTATACGCGCGCGTAGAGGAGAGCCGTTGAGACTGCTGAAGCATTCCTTAGGAAGGAGATCCCCGCTCGGGTCGACCTCACAAACCATTCCTTCTCTTCTTTTACCATCGCAGACTTTGGATGCTCCTCTGGCCCCAACACAATTCTTGCTGTAGACATCATCATCCAAGCCCTCAACAACAAGTTCAGCTCTTCTCTGCCTAGTACTAAAACCCCTGCGTTTCAAGTCTTTTTCAACGACCTCTCACACACTGATTTCAATGCACTCTTTGCTTTGCTCCCTCCTCAACGTCCCTACTTCGTCGCAGGTCCCCTACTTTACTTTAGATTTCCCATGCTGCACAAGTAAACTCCTCCACTTACTTGTCCATTCTTGCTTGCAGGTGTCCCAGGCTCTTTTTATGGGAACTTGTTTCCGAAGGCATCTCTCAACTTGGCCTACTCCTCTTGTGCCCTCTGTTGGCTCTCCGAATTGCCACCGGAGCTAAGTGACACAACCTCCCCTGCTTACAACCAAGGCAGAATTCACTACACGGGAGCACCAGCAGAGGTTGTGCAAGCCTACTCCTGTCAGTACAAGAAGGATATCAAGTCGTTTTTGCGTGCAAGGTCACAGGAGCTCGCAGAAGACGGATTGATGGCACTGATCGTGCCTGGTGTACCAGACGGGTTCCTCGAGTCTGAGGCTTCAACAGGATCCGAGTTCGATCTGCTGGGCTCATGCCTCATGGACATGGCCAGAGAGGTACTAGGTGATTTTCATTAGGAAATAACTACGCATGACAGATTAAAATGACCCAGAACACTTGGGATGCAGGGAATAATAAAGGAGGAGGAGGTAGACAGTTTCAACCTGCCCATATACTACACAACTCCAAAGGAGCTGGAAGATATCATCAGGAGCAACGGAGAGTTGGCAATCGATAAAATAGTGACACTGGAGGGCGCGGAAGCACAATACACCATGCCTGAGCTCGAGTCGAGGGTTCTGTACCTGAGAGCAGTGCTGGAAGGTCTCATTCGCACCCACTTTGGCCATCAAATCCTCGACGACCTGTTTGATCGCTACTCACTCAAACTTGCTCATTCCTCTTTCATCCTCAATCCCCAAACCCACAAATCCATCATGATCTTTGCCCTTCTCTCTCCTCGCCGCTACGTATGATACATGTTGTCCATTTAGAATCCAAAATCAAGGATTTACCTTATTTATATATGAACAATGTGCTTTACACCACTCCCATCCATTACATCGTCTCTACTTTGATTGAATAAACGATTCAAATAATTTGAGTCACTATTTAGCAAGATTTTCAATTTCATTCAACAAACATGTCAAAGGGATTAAGATACCCATCAAGTACTCACAGGAAAACAACAATAGTAATAATAACACCGCAGTTTATTGTTCCCATGGTACAACTCACTGCCTGTAGTATCCGCCGCCTTGGTTAGGCGGTGGGTATGGGTTCTGGGCGGTATAAGGAGGCCGAGGCTGCTGTCCGTGGGGATCATAGTACGAGCCTTGCTGCTGCCACGATGGATAAGGCTGTTGCTGGCCCTGAGGAGGGTATTGTGGTGGAGCCTGGCCATGAGGTGGTGGAGCCTGGCCATGGGGTGTGTGGTAAGGGGGAAGTGGACCGTAGGGTGGGACATTGTAGCCAGGCCTTGAATGTTGCTCAGGCGGCCTATAGTATGGTGCTTGTGGGTGATGATGAGATGGATTCTGAGATTCTGGTGGAGGAGGTGAACTTGAAACCGCAGGCTGATGCACAGATGGATATGGACCACTGTTTCTGTGATCCTGAAAACTCAGACCTGACATTTGTCGTTGAACATCTTCCATCATTTCTCGGCACTGGATACTCCTTGTCATCACAAAATCACTGCACTGCTGCTTCACATTCGTGATTGCATCCTATTGAGACCAACAAAAACAATGTCTCAGATTGCAGTAAACTTATTTCGTATCCTCAATAGAATGTAAAAAACAGAATTGAATAGCCATCCCAGACAGGTGGCATCATGCAGACACGCTTAGACAGTGAAGAGCTTGCAACTCCATACAGAAAAAAACTCACTTGGAGAGTGACATAGAACTTCAAGCCCTCATTGATATTCTCCTTGATCTCTCGATACTTGGCTATAGCAGCTTGAATCTGCTTGTAGCACTTCTCCCTCGATGCTGAAGAACGGGGAAACACAGAAAACGAATAAGTGGTAGCAAACGAACTGAGATGCAGGAGCATAAGAAATCCCATTACTTTAAAGTCAAATGTGCCAGTTTTATCATGGTACATCTAGAATGCTAAACTACATTGACCCATCATGTTTCTTCAAACATTTAGAGAGTTCATGCAAGACAGAAGCTACTTGCTTACCTTTATAATCTTCAAGATTGAAAAGAGTTGCGAACTCTTCATTTTGAGCCTATAACCAAGAAAACAAACCCATTAAATAACAGCCAGTTTCTAATAGCAGTGAAAAATGATAATTTCCGTCCAAATAGAAGCTAGCACACCAAATATACTTGGATATTGATTACCATCACCATACGTTATTTGGTTATCAGAAAAAGATAAAACCCATAATGAAAAATAAAGTAACACTACAAGGATGGACAAAAGAGGTAGACCTGAATTTGCATCAACAATTGTTCTTGAACTTCTATGTTTTGGGAGATATCTTGACAGATGTGATCATACTTTGATATCTCTTTCCTGAACATATCTTCATAGGAGCCTGTGATTGTCATCAACTTTGGCAGTATGTCATCCTAAAACCAAGTATCAAGTAAAAGCCTAATGAGTATTTGACTCCAATATCATACAATAATAAAGAAAGACAAAAAGACAATGCCGATCAATCAAGAGAAAAGTTTCACCTTTCTTTTCATCTCTTTGAGCATGTCTTCAAGACCTGCCCGTTGAGCACCAAGATTTTCCAGTTGCCTCTGTGCAAAAAGGAAACAAAATTGTGAGAATAATGATTCGTGAAAGCACATTCCAACTTTCTCCCAAAAGTATATACTCGCAGTTTCCAAAAGAGATAGTGAATACCAGACTCTGCTTCAGAGTTCCCACGATAGCATCCTCTGTTGCATCCAGAGACATTATTGGCCTAGCTAGAGTTGGGACGGCAGACTCTATCTGATGAGCAAACAGTAAACCACATCGTCTAAGAATTAGTATACCAGATATGAGTGTGCTTTAGCTGACCCAAGTGTGTAATTTGAATAGCCTGTACCCAATCTTTGGGTACTAGGATAACCGAAGTGAAGATCCATAAGAGGCAATTCTGACAACAGTTTGAGCCTCAACAGGAAAAATTTAGTAGCATATACAAAAAATAGGAAATACCTACCGGCCGTTGATCAAGTATTGACATGAGGGCAGAATTATCTCTCACAGATCGCTCAATCTTCACATCACTTTCGCCAGCTTGTTTCAAATTGGCTGCAAACCGATTTAACCTATCCTGCAGATTCTTTGTCAGTGTGCTAGATTGAGGCCTAGTCCACCGAGTTCCAAATTGGCTTCTGAACTGAGCGTCTTCAGTTGCTTCTTTCTGCAACAGCTCTTCAGTGTGCACCAACAGTTCATGATTAACCCTCTTTAAATCTCTAAGTTGCTGAAGCTCAGCTTCCAAGCCAGCTGGACCGCCATTGATCTGAACAGCTTCCACATCTTCTTTAAGATCAACAGGAAGAGTTGAACTACCATCCACAGCAAGAATAGAATCGGGAAGATCCATCTCCTTGAGCCTAACTCGAGTTAGTTCGCTTGCTTGCTGTAATCTCTCAGCCTGAGTCCTAATTACATCATCGACCATCTCAGTGTATCTAGAGAGAGCCTTTGCGCTGCTGTCTGGAACAAGGATTGCAAACATTTTCTCCTTGCTTGCATCCAATATCTCAGTCATGTTCATTGGCTTAACCATTGAAAAGGTGGGAAGTGGAGATAAAGAAGCAGGAGAAGGAACTCTCATTAGGTACACTCTGTCGTTTTCCTTGACAGCCCTATCCAAATTGCAATTAATGCTTGCCTCTAGTTTGTTTATCGCTTCTAGAAGCTGAGCAGGAGCCCCCCTTGAAGACTTCTTTGCTTCTGCCAAACGGCTGCTTCCGCTCCTAAGCCGTGCGATTTCTTCTGCAATTTCCTCTTTCTCATGCAATTCTATTCCATACCTATAACAAGCTTCACTATAGAAGAGTGCTGCTTTCATCTGCACATGAGTAATCCAGCCTTTCTCAAAATGATCCTTCAGTGGTGCACAGTTTAGCTGCGCCAAAGCTTCTTCATAGAATATGCCCACCTGATTGCAAGCAAACCAGAAGTGTAAATTCAATCAACCCTATCATTTTCTCAAAGTTCAGTCAAACAGATGCTCCACCAAAAACTAAAGTTCATCATCAAAGCAAGTTTTTAGCATATGCCCATAATCAATCCGAGTATGAAGAATCTATTAAATCAATTCTAAGATCTTGATTCCATATTGCAGGTAGAAAGAGATGGAAGCATGATGGGACAACTAACCTGCCTAGCAATTTTGGCACAAACACCAGGACTGCTTCCTTTGGCAATGGTATTTTCAAAGACGCATTCTTGAGCCTGAGCCAACATGAGCCGTTCCAACATTCCCACGCACTCCACCGACAAATCCACGGTGCAGCTCTGCCCCATCGTCGCCTTAGTGGACTCGTTATCCCTCACATAAGCAAACGCCCCTGCAGCAGCCATAAACGCATGGGAAGCCTGACGGCGACCATCAACGGTGGTGCGATCATGACCAAGTCCAATCTGGCTATAGGTAGCACCGAGATTGAATAGAACAGCTGCTTTCTCCAGATTGATGTTCTGCTGAGTAGACTTGTGCTTTTGCTTGAAGGCATCGTACCAAAGGAAAGAGACGGCGTTAACGTGATGCTTCTCGGGGGAAATCGGAAATCGCGTCTCCACAAGGCAAAGGGCTTTGTAATAAGAGATGAGAAGATCTCGCCGGGCGGCAGGAGATGGATCGGGGACGCGTTCCACATCGGAGCGGAGTTGCTTCAGGGACTCGAGATCGTCTTCTAGAAGCTGAGCCTCGCGCTCAGAGTAGGTGAAAGTAACGTAGTTGCGGAGAGGACGGTAGAGATCAACGGAGGTCGTCTTCTTCTCGTGAATGGCGAGCATCAGATTAGAGAGCGCCGAAGAAGCCATGGCGGATCAGAAGAAGAAAAATCCCTTTGATCGCTCGCTATCTCTCTCTCGATTTTCTCTTTTCTTCTTTCGGTTTCTTTGATCCTTATTGACTAAGGACCGATCGTGAAGAAGACGGCACTAAGTCCTTCGTTTTTGTATGGAAACGGCGAGTAGTCTAGCTCTGTGACTAATAGGATTTAATGATTTAAATAAGAAATTTCTTGCATCAATGCAATGAAGAAATTTCTAATTTTTTTTGATAAAAATAGAAATTTCAATTTTGACAACCAAAAAAAAACTATAAAGACCATCAAACTATGTAGATATTTTTGGAAATATACGTAATTTTTGGTTTGGTTGTCCAAATAAAATATAAATAAATTTTCCAATAATGTACATAAATTTTCATTTTTCATGCAAAAGACATAGATTCATTATGTCTTTAACATAAATTAAAACACTATACATCAGAAGAAAAACTGTTCTTATATAGCTGTGCTACTTGTTTTACCATGGTATATGTACGAATTTTCTACTGAGAGTAGGAGAAACAAGATCCTCCTACTTTTTTTTTTTTGAAAATTTGATTGCATTAATATACTCCTACTTTAGAAGAATGTTGTGGTGACAATCAACACAATATTATTAATCTCAAGGGATTACAAAAATGTGTGTTTATAAATTAGAGAGCCTTGAAGAGAATTTTGATAGCAAAAGAATAATAATGAAACAGTACAAGTTACGATAATACAAGAAATATATATCTGTCAAAAGTTTTTGAGCATCTTGTCATTTGAGACTCCATCAGCTACAAGCATTGTGGTTATCTCCTGCAACAACACAAATCAAACAACAATAAAGATATACACATCTTCTAAAACATTTACCGATTTACATTTCCAGCAACAAGACCGTGCATACCTCAGCCATTTGTTTCTGTCCGCATAGTACCACACCCGTGGCCTCGGGATCTGAAACTTGTTTAGACCTTGCAAAGGCAGCCTACACAACAGATGATGTATAATGATATTAGTTTGATCCACCTTGAGTTACAAGAGATTTGATTTAAGGAGCACGTTTCTCAATCTCACCTGCACATATCCGGTTTCCCCTTTCCAACCATCATCTGGCTGTGATAACACCGGCACAACTTTGACACCCGATGATTCCCACTCTCTAAACTTATCCTACAAAATCGAGAGCGTTTTCCACTGTAATCCTGATATATAGATCATATCCAGAGATAGAGCTAGGCTCCGTGCTTTATCATCAACAATTCAACTGCACACATTTCTATCTACTGGCATCATGCTTAGAGAAAGAACCAAACCTGATAAGCCATTCTTTTCAGGTTCCTAGCACCGTAATAGAGTCTAACGTCAGATCTTCTATCAGCGCCAAACCCTGACTCAATTAGTGAGCGAATGGGACTGCAGAGATAAGAACACGAGATTACATTCCCAGTCAAAACAATTACTCAATCCCTGTCTCAATCACTAGACATTGTTGATTCGACCAGGCCCATAACAACAAGCAGAAACACCTAGACCTTGTCCCAATCTTAGATCAACACAGAGCAGAAAAGTCACCATGGCACCTTCCAAAGGGACTAGATAGATAGGTTAAATGCATACTCTATATCCAGTTTCTTTGCAAATCAAAGATACTTTCATCTTATCAAACAGTAGGGGCTACCAAACTTCAAAAGCCATTGTGATAAATGCAAGTAAACTAACATTGGCCCTTAATATCATAACTAATTAAGAAACCATATTCAAGATACTAACTTCGAAAGCGTTGGATCTGACTAATATTCTGCACTGAAACCTTTGAAGCTATACCAAACTTAGATCATTTAATATCAGCTAAGAAGGAGAGATCAAACTTTTAGTAAAAGCCTCTACTTTTAACAATCCAACAAGGTAGGAGAGAAAGTGGATAAATCCCTCACCTAATTCCAGATCCAGTAGCGAAAATCAAAACCGTGGGATACTCTTCTGGAGGATGAATCTGATCGATATCGAAACCATTACCCATCACAGGGCTAAGCTCAACGGTCTCACCTTTCTTCAACCCGCATAGAATCTCCGCGGTGGATCCAGCTATACTCTTGACCAAAAACTCGAAAGCACCACGAGCAGACGCGAACGAAGGAGGAGAAGCGATTGCCAGAAACGAAGGCTTCTCAACATCAGGAACACGAAGCTGAAGATACTGACCGGGACGCGTGTACGAGGCTACGAGATCGGGAGAGTTCGAAATATCGATTGAGATGTGGAAAAGCGAATCAGCGGCCGATTCGATCTGAGAAAGAGGAGCAGGTGTCCAGAGAGTAGCGTCCTGGCGAA